AGCAGCTATGGCCAGCAAACACCACTTCAGCACGTCCACTCGTGTCTCATTGTCCTTCTCCACGACGGAGCCCAAACTCCCGCTCTGCGCTCAGCTCCTTTCCACTCTGGCCTCATGGGCTGAACCAAGTGTATGACGGGGGGTCACACACCAAACTTTCAATGACAAACACATATTAGGGGGGGAAACAAAAAACTACACAAATGGACACATGAATGGACAGGCATCCGCATAAAAGGAGGACAGACTTTGTTGTGTATATTGGAGGGACAGCTTTGGCTTTAGTCAGTATTGATGAGGACTTTATCCCCCTAAGAATGCCAGGTTGTAATAAATAGGCTTCATTCAATGAGGCAGTATGATGAGGGAGAATGTCAACATAAATAACTTGTGAAACGGTCTTAATAAGCTCTCTGAGGATGCTGTGTTGGCTCTTAAAAGAGCCTTTTTAGGGAGTGTGGATGTTGCAGGGTGATGCCGCTCACTTCTTCTTGGCTGCTGTCTTCTTCACTTTAGGCTTGGCTGCCTTCTTTGCGGGGGCTTTCTTAGCAGCAGGCGCCTTCTTGACCACTTTCTTAGGGCTCTTGGCCGCCTTTTTGGTCACCTTCTTGGGACTCTTGGCTGCTTTCTTGGCCGCTGCGGGCTTCTTGGCCTTCTTGGGGGACTTCTTAGCGGCTGCTGGCTTCTTGGCTGTCGCTGTCTTGGGCTTTTTGGCCGCTGCGGCTTTCTTGGCGGCGGGCTTCTTGGCTTTAGCGGCAGCTTTCTTTGCGGGCTTCTTGGCCGTGGTGTCAGCCTTCTTCTTGTTGATCTTGAAGGATCCGGAGGCCCCGGTGCCCTTGGTCTGGACCAAAGCGCCCTTAGTCACCAGGCTCTTGATGGCGGTCTTGACGCGGGCCTTGTTCTTGTCCACATCGTAGCCTCCGGCGGCCAGAGCCTTCTTGAGAGCGGCTGCAGACACGCCGCTCCGCTCCTGGGAAGCGGCCACAGCTTTAAGGATGAGCTCGCTGACGCTGGGGCCCACCTTCCTGGGTTTGGAAGTCTTCTTCTTTGCCGCTTTGGCCGGAGCGGCGGCTGGAGCTGGAGCTACTTCTGCCATGTTCTTTTGTCTTCTGTGTTCCTCGAGGCGTTGCAGCGAGAGTCAGACTGCAGTAATGAAAAACTCGGAGCCGGAGGCTGCACTTAAACACACCATGAGAACCGTGGAGACTGAGACAGCCCAGCCGGGCTCCAGGTCAGCTAAAGGGAGACACTTGTGTTTTGTGTCCAGGATCAAAGAGGTACAGATGAGTGAAGGAGCAGCGCTACAGGCTGACAGTGAAGCAGCCGACAGCGGACTGCTTTCTCTACATGTCGGCCTCACGTCTAGCTCTGATACTTTCTGCGGTTTGCTGCTGGAGCCTCCACAGCTCACCGACTCGCCACGCTTCGTAGCGACTTTCCCCGCTTTTCTCTCCAGAAATGACTCCAGACGCAGCAAAGCTCCCTCAGAAGCTGTTTTCCAGCTGAGCAGCGAGTTTGTTCAGAGCCTTCGAGTGAAAAGAAGCATCTGTTGAGCATCACTGTGGAATAAAGTGCAGATGTTGTGGTGGCAGCAAACACAGTGATGCTGGAGGCGGCTGTTGCAGGCAGTCAGAGCTGCTGCCTGTCAGCGTGTCGTCTGCTCTACACCTTCAGTATGAACAAAGTGCAACACTGTTCTCTGCACTCACTGCAGCCTGTTTTTACAAAGTAAAGTTTGTAATATTCTTTGCAGCTGCTGTGTAACAGAAGATCAGTGATGTAAACTCAGAATAAAAAGGTGAGCTGTAGCATAAACAGCAGCTGTCAGCCTGTCCTTCAGTCACACTGCTTTTAGTTTGAGTGGAAATGAAACTTATAATCCTGACTTTTAGATGTTGTCTGATAACACATCTACAGTCACTTTCTTCCCACTGAGCACAGGACCTGATTTCAACGTTGCAGCTGTCCTAGTCCTCATATAGTCCTGAATATCTCCAGTGAAATATGGATACGTTTTAGATGAACAAGTTGAGTTCTTTATTTCAGCATTTTTATGTCACACAAACAACAGTGGAGTAGTAGTGTAGTGTTCTGGATGAGTCTTGCTGGGAATGGCAATTTAAAATCTTTTTTGTATGCAGGAAGTATTTTGTTCTACAGGTCTTGTTGCTTTGAAATATATTAATATCTGCATCTGTTGAATCCTGCATAATATTATGTTGAGTCAAAGTGCCCTTCTTAAAATGCAAAATACCTTTTCACTTCTTTTGGGTTTTTCATACATCTCTGTTACATTAATAGTGATACCGACCCACCTGTCTCACATGTTTCCTATATATTAAAGATCACAACACTCCATCTGCTTCAAAAATTCAGATTTTCATGTTCCCTACCATTGTGATGATAATTCAAGTCATTTGTTTTCCTCTGGATGTCTAGTGCAGTCTCCTGTATAGTGATCCAGACCTTTGTAGATCCTTGTGTTGTCCCGCTCTAAGGTCTCCTCTTAACACCAGGTAAAGGACAAAGAGAAGATCATCTTCTGCTGCATGTCAGAGGCTCTTGGCTACATTAGCTGTTAACACAGTCCAATCTACTAACCAGCTGTCAGCAGCCATGTTGGATTGTGAGAAACATAGACAGCAGGGTTTTGCGAAGAAAAAGCATGAGTGGAAAAAACGGAACTGTATCTTTGAATAGTTGTTTGTTGTTGTAGATTAAAACTCTAGCCTAGTTTTGTTGTTATTCAGGTATACAGTCTCTGCTTTGTTCAATTTATGGTCACCTTTTTGTGATGAATTACTACATGAAATATGTAATTATTTTAAAATTTAAATGTATCTGGCCACGTGGTACACCTGCTGTATGCAAACTCCACCCAGATAGATAGTTAACCATTGCATCAGCGTGCCACACAACAGTCCAGTTCAAAACCAGAAGATCTGCCACCGAGGATAAATAAGAGGAAGGCCACTGATGCTGGTGTGACTCCTCTGAAGAAGATGAGGTGTAGTTTAGGTGCTCTTTCATAATAATAAATTAACACTGAGAGCGAATCAGTCTGGACTAGGATCTGACAGCAGGTCACACTGTGTAGACCTGCATGTCTTCACATTAGACAGTTAGATGTCACACAGTGAATCAAAGTTTAGTTAGCAGCTGTTTAGAGCAATTTCTTTGTATGTTATTAAATCCCTGAAGCATTAGACAGTGGTAAAATCCACAAGTGTCTCCAAAGTGAGAGAGCTGTGTGCATTTATGGACAGAGCAACAGAAATAAGTTTATGAATATGATATAATTAGATATTCTTGTCAGTATGAGGACAGGATTAATCAGCATCTAACAGCAGGTTATACAGAAAAGTTTTGTTTACCCCAGACTGAGCAGTCACACAGTCAGTTTATCAGCTGCAGTGAAATATGTTGTTCTGAACTGTTGGTTCCAGTGTTTACTCAGGAACTGTTTATTAAATGTACAATTTCTGAATCTTAGATTTAGTTGTTTGTGCGACATATAAATTAAATAATATAAATAGAGATAAGTTGGCTTGTGTCTGCACCGGCGACATGAGGATGGTTGCCTTATTTATTCCAACCTGGCATTCTTAGGGGGGTGGAGTCCTCATCAATACTGACTAAAGCCAAAGCTGTGCCTCCAAAATACACAACAAAGTCTGTCCTCCTTTTATGCGGATGCCTGTCCATTCATGTGTCCATTTTTTGTTTTGTTTTTTGTTTCCCCCCCTAATATGTGTTTGTCATTGAAACTTTGGTGTGTGACCCCCCGTGATACACTTGGTTCAGCCCATGAGGCCAGAGTGGAAAGGAGCTGAGCGCAGAGCGGGAGTTTGGGCTCCGTCGTGGAGAAGGACAATGAGACACGAGTGGACGTGCTGAAGTGGTGTTTGCTGGCCATAGCTGCTGCGTGTGTGACTGTGTGGTGTGACTTGAATGAAAAGCTGCAGCATCAGCATGACAGAGCAGCAGAAGCCAGATGAGCTGTTGCACAGCGTTTGCAGGTTTATGTGGTGGAATAATGTGTTTTCCAGCTTGTGTGTATGAATGCTGAGCTCATGAGAGCTGCGAGGACATTTGAGATAAATCGTCAGTGTAGGCACAAAATGAGATTTGAGTGTTCTACCAATATGAATAGTTGTTGATCTTTCACCCAGTGTTGTTTTCTTCTTCTTCAATGTGTGTGTGTGTGAGAGAGAGAGAGAGAGAGAGTGAGAGATATAACAAAGAATATTAATATCCGATGTAATGGTTCCAATATACGTATAGATTTGTGGAGCTGTTGATGCTTTTCGTAAAGAACATGTGATGTGATGATTGTAGTAGGTGTGAGTGTGTAATACGGATGAGTGCATGTTGTGTGGACGGAGAGTGGTGATGCTGTTTGCTGAGGCAGGAGGATTGCTGCTTCTTTGCCAGAGGACAGTGTGTGGCTCTTAAAAGAGCCTTTTTGTTGGTGCCCTCCGGCACTGTGCGGGTGTCGGGCTTTACTTGGACTTGGCGGGCTTCTCGGTCTTCTTGGGCAGCAGCACGGCCTGGATGTTGGGCAGCACGCCGCCCTGAGCGATGGTGACGCCGCCCAGCAGCTTGTTGAGCTCCTCGTCGTTGCGGACAGCCAGCTGCAGGTGACGGGGGATGATGCGGGTCTTCTTGTTGTCGCGGGCGGCGTTTCCAGCCAGCTCCAGGATCTCAGCGGTCAGGTACTC